TACCTGTTGAACCTAATTTTATTGATATACAATTAATTAATAAAACATCCATTCAAATGGATATTTGCTGAGTCTGCAGGTTTGCTGTGGCGTAGTTGTTTTACTTATAATATAAGCTTAAATTTTAAGATTTTATAGTATCACACTATTTAACTAAATGGGATAAATTATCATAATCCTTGAAAGTAACAGTCAATTTCCATGTGTTTCACCTATTTTTGATAAATTGAAAAAAACTAAATATACTTAATCACAAATAACTCAAAAGCCGTTGGGTTTAAAGAAAGATGGTAAATACAAAAAATGTGTATTTTTGGATGGCCTACATTTTGTATGTTTATATTTTTCCTGTATCTCTAATAATAAAGTCACTATAGCGAAAAATACAGAAATATGCCACCATTTTCCAACATGGCGGCCGTAACACAGCTTCAATTTTAGGGGACTTTTAGTATGTTCAAAAGGAAGGTACACCCAACATCTGTACCAAATTCCCCGGTTGTGCTAGTTTTTTATGGGTCAAAACATATTTTTATTGTACTGTATAATGTTAAAAAAACCTCAGCTGTCCTTATTTGTATGTTATTATTTCAATTTATTTCCTTATTAAAATCGGGTTTAATTATTTGTTTGTATTTCTGTATTCTGTGTTGTTATTTCAGCTTAACTTAACACTTAACCAATCAATAATAATTGTATTATGAATTAAAACGGGGTGAAGTCCGTGGGTAACAGCTAGTTGACCTAACTACGCACTTTATAATACAGTTTTAAAGGACTATAGCCTACTCAATTCCCATACGTAGGATGGGCCAACAGCTCGTATACTTAATTTCGCGTATAGCTTAGTTTTGTGGTATATTCCATAGCCAAATTAAAGCAATGTTAATTCTTGTTAACATTTTAAATCAAATGTTTATATAAAGCTTCAATAGACAAACGTGAAGAAAGGAGAGTGTTTTTTAGTACATCAAAAGACGGAATTGACATTTCCGATTGTTTCGTCAAAACTTGGGTATAATAAACCCATCGAAAATGGTGAGCCATTTTCATTTACGAGCATGCGCTAAACGGCTGCTTAAAAAATCTTACCGCAGTTGCCGTGGAGATTCGTCCGGAAACAGTTCAACAAGTTCATCTTTGTCCTTTGTCCGATTTAAAGTTTTACAATTGGTTAACTTGTAACCTATTTTTGGTGAGTAAAATTTGCAAAAGATGTTTCTCTTTTTTATATTATAGGGTACATAGTTTAAAATAGATTTCTAATGTATTCGACTCCAGAGTTTTTAATATAGTCTGTAAAATTACCTAGAAAATTGGCTGGTAAATAGGAATTGTTGAGTACGAATGGATACATTTGATTGATTCACGTTATGGTACTTTAAAGATAGTGACACAGCGTAGTCATTAAATCTGATGTTATTAAATAAGGCAAAATACGACCCGTTTATGGATTTTTTTAGTATCCAAGCAGACAAATTGAATTTATATAGTCTTCAGATTTGTTGCGACGGGGTATTTTGTTCTATTCAGGATAAAAATAAAGATAAACATACCAAAGCTCGACACTCCGACCCCCCTACATGAGTCACATTCCAGAGACTGCCTGGCGAGATTAGCCCCCTTCTACATTCCTAATAGTATGAGTATACAAGCATGATTCGCCTGTCCGCGAAGTCTCTGCTTTGCCTCTCTGTTGAGATATAAATCTCATCAGCCAAAATACATTACAGGCCTTGATGAAAATAAACAATTTAGGTTTTTAATAACTTCCTTGAAGTTTGTTTTTAGAAGAAATGTGTCTAATAACTCTGAACCATTCAACTCCGCATGTTAGATAACTCAAAGTTCTTATACTATAGAACTATTGAACTATAAACTATTAGAGTATAGAATGAGTTACAAGCCTCATTGAGTACAACAGAATATTTGACAAAAGTTGCAGACAAAAAGCTCAAAAGAAAATTACAAGAGGAAATACCTGTAGGCCCATTTGGGCTCAATGCGCAAAAGAGAAGACTTTTCTACCTGACTTATGCCCAGTGTCCATCCTTTGTAACATTAAATGTTCCCCTTGACTTTAAGCACAGACAATATAATACTTTAATGCTTTAATATTTTAATGGTTTAATCCATTGTCTGTGCTTTAAGGGTTTTCTTAGTTGTCACAATTTATCTTTATGTTGACATGTAATTTGTGGTTGGTTATATTGCTCGTTGACAAAAGCTGCTTATATTGTTATTCCACAAGCTGCCTTATTTATTGAAGAAAAAATCATCCAAAGGCCTCGTCATAGACCAGGCGAAACGCGTCATTCTGTAAATAGTGTAAATACCTACTTGACTGGTCAGAGGACCGGAACACCAAAAATATAATCAATTGTATATCTTTAAAACTTGATTGTAATCGAGTAAAAACAGTATTACGCTACGCAAATACACATACAAAGATACACACAGTGTATAAATAAAAAATTATTTTTATAAGATCATATTTACGTTCAAGTGCGATATTTTTATTCATGAAGCCTCCTCGTTTAGCATTTCTCTCAGGGTTTGTCTCGTCATCAGAATTCTACTAGCAGAATTTCCACTTGTTTGAAGTAGCACATACGATTTTATATATGTTTACTTCCATTCTAAATGTTTTATTCGAACGTGTTAAAGCAGTATTAAAAATACTACACGGGCTTAAAAATATTTAAATGGTTTTTAAAAAATGCGATAATCTTGTCGATGTGCTCAGTAACATTTGCTGTTTTTAAAGATCGTATCAACATTGTTTATTTTAGTAGTTATTTTATAGTTTATAAGACAGTCAGTATTTTTTAATGTCTATTGACTTAGCCAATGCATTAATGTAAATCTGGCCAAATAAATGACTTATGACTTAAAATTCTAAAAAAATACAACAGTTGTATTAAACTAGTTTTAAAGGCTCAAGTAACAACTAACAATTTTGAATTTAAATTTTAATATTTTTGACCAGGATTTAAATGTTAATTAAACAGTCAAACCTTACTTTGGTTAATGTTGCACATAGAGTTGATTTGTATCAAAATGGCTATAATATTTAATAGGGTTTCTCATGCAGAGAAAAGATCTTATTTCTAGCTATCTTGAAAATTGTATAAACATAATATGGTTTTAACTGTGAAACCAACTATTAAATTCTTAATTTATCAACCGCTTCCCGCTTTACTTGTTAAAACCATTCTCACAAACACCTAACCTGTATTTAATATTACTTAATTCACATATTAACATTGCAACATTGATTTACATAATTAAATAATTAATCTCTTGAGTTTATCTTAAAGTTAATCTAGACTAAGTCCTAGTTGTAACCAGCGTTCATGTTTAAGATCTTCACTTGAATCATTTCATGATATTGTAACAGTTTGTAATCTTGGTTCTCCAAACTGACATGTCTTATCCAATTATTTACTTAGAATTTATTTTTGAAACAATCCTTACCTTTAATGAGTTCAAAATTGTTCTGGTGTGGGTTTCAGTGACATAGTGTAAAGGGCGAGCTTCTTATCCTAGCGAACAGGTGTGGACAAAATAAATGACTGTTTCCATTCTCGAGTGTTTCCCAGTTCTGGAAGTCATGGTAGGGCAGGAAAAAATATAGGTCATGGGTGTTTTTTTTGGATGGTTTCTAAAGGTGATTAGTATATTGTTTACTGGCGGCAGTCCTTGATCTTACCGACTGGTATTTGTTATATTTTATTTTAATTTTGACAGTTTTCAAATGTTCAGACAATCGACAAAATTAAAGCGATGCTATATACCCGGTTGCAACTACCATTGGCCACTAATACAAGTAGGATTCTTATAGCTTTGTACAACGTGAAGTCGACTTTTATGTGTGTCATGTTGGTGATGTTTGTTAGCTTTATGTTTAAACTTAGAGTTTTTTCTTTTATATTAAAGGGCAAATTTTACATCGTGAGTTTCATTGTTTGGTTATAATATGAGAGAAGTATTTAGTTCTATTTGGTTAAATAATAGAATATTAAATAATACTAATGAAGGATTCTATAAATTAACTGAAAACTCATTCAAGAGTTGTCGTACTAAAGTGCCTAAAATATTCCCTTCTCAACCATAAGGATGATATTTAACGCTTCGAGCCCAACTAGTACGCGCCCGAGTCCTTGGAGGCTTCATTGAGAGAGGCCATCTTTCATAATTTAAAAAAAAAGCTGCTGAAGAGTTATTTATCGTCAAAAAATATCGTTTCAAACACCAAAGTTGTTATAATTTAAATATCTAGTATACTGTGTGATTATAAATGTTCTTTGTAGTTTTTTAATGTTCTCAAAGGGAGTCCATGGAAGCTAATAGCTCTTAGATTTAACCTCAGAAAAGTAGTACAGCATCAAAAGTGGTGGTCTTTCACGTTCCGGTGGTGTTACTTAAAGTATTAATATTTTAAGTAGTTCAAATAAAACCCTGTTTAATTGGATCAATTTTTTCACAAGTACAGTATTCACTGAACACGTAAAACATTCTTGAAATCCTCATTTCACATTGAAACTACACGTGTTTGACTCGTACTAATAGTGTGAATCTAATTCAATTATAAAGATGTATTATTGATTACAAATTGTTTTACAATAAACAAAAGTGTACAGGAACCGGTGTTACGATACAATTTCCTCTTCGAGTGTCACAATAAGTAGTTCGACCTGTTTGCAACGACTGGATTGTGATGGAATCCCTTAAGCCAGTTTCTGTCAAGCTAAGGTTCAGAACAGAGTTATGTGATGTTTTTACAGAATATTTCAATACTTTCCTCACATAAATACAAATGTTTTACTACCTCTTCGTCATTTTTCCACATAGCTTAGAACTTTGCTATGAATTCATGTAGATTAAATAATAAATAAACAGCGCTGTTTCTTTAATTAGAAACGACATCAACAGAACAATGATAAAATAAGGGATGAGTAATCGTTGAAAACTCTGGGAAAAACAAATAAACACTCTACTGAGAAAATAAACATTTTTATTAAACATACTATAAATATTTTACTTAATAACATTGGTATTTGCTATGTAAATTGTACTAGTTTAGTGGTCGACGTTTACCAGTGAAGTGCAGTGGAACAGTAGGTCCACCAGCTGTTTATAATTTAAGAGTAGATGTCATCAAAAGGTACTTTTGAGAACACCCTGTTTGCTATGTTTCGAAAAACCAGTCCTAGTGCAGATTGCAAAGGCGGTCTCATATCGTCGTAAATCGCTTTCCAGTTGTCGTTTAACACCGCGTTTATGTTGTCACCTGTTTAAAAATATTATTAGAAGATTATTTTAATTATTGTTAAAAAGTGCTAGGTGAAAAAGCAAATGCTCTTTTAGGAGTGATTCTAACAGGATGAAATGAGATGGAACATCGAATAAACACTTTCAAATATAAATTTTAACTAAGATGTGCTCAATTGAGTTATACATTTTGTACTTTGGTAATTTTTTTTTGCCATTTGTTAGAAATAATTGGATAGTATTGGGAACAAAAAAACGGAAGGTGCAATTCGAAAGGAAATACAGTAAGGAGGATAATCGATCGAACCCTCTTTGAATGCTCTTTAAAACTTAATATTTAAAGAAGATTTGTTTGATTTCCCCCCTCTTATTTCCTTAAATCATACCTTGCGTTTTAAAATTGGTTAAAACAGAAATGCCTACCTACTTAAATTTTATTTTATTATGCCTCTGTGTCATTTTTTTTACAATAGCGTGGTATTTATTTTAGTTCTGACACAATTTTTGTAAAGAGCAATCCCATATTACACATATTTCCTTGATTTGTATGTTTTTCAATGTTAGTTTTGTTTAACTTATTAGTATTGTTTTTTTTATTTTTATTTTTTTTATTAGTAAGGTTGTGAAACTATTGTTATGGTGTCCATAACGGGAATAAACGTTATAGAACAAGTTTAAACCCCTGTCTAAAAATGGAAATGTAGCCTACAAACTCTTATGACTAGTGAAAACCGCAGTAGAGTTAAATGAAGCAAAACAGCTGTTAGTGCAGTTTGAGAAGATCTCTGAAAAGCAAAGTAAAGCCAAGTTGATACATTTAATGCTACTATCAACATAAAAATAAAATATAAGTAGATAGATAATCGTAGTGCTGGTTAATGAAATGATCGACTCAAATTAAAACAATCACCAAAATAATATTTCATCACTTGGGATTAAATTCCCTGTTTGACCTAAACAACTAAGGCCGAGGCTTGAAAATGATTGAGGATGTAAATGACTTTTAGACCTGTGTGAAATGTGATATGAAATATATTTTTTTGTCATACTGAAACTATTTATTCAAACCACAAAACTAAAGATTCTCATACTTTTTACGTTGGTAAAAGTGCTTCAATGTTTTTCGTCTATTTTTGCTCCGAGTTATTATTATCTAGATGCACTAGGCATCTAATCCGCCAACACGGTGCATTTCGTGTATCAGAATTTAAAAAAAATACTATTTTGAACGCTTTATCTACTTATAGTCTACTTTAAATGTGCATTTTATACCGATGGACACAGATCTATTTACAAATAAATTTTTAACTCAAACTGTTAAAATGAAATTTGAGAACAAACTATTACACTGCATTTTTGCAATACATGCCAAGAAGTCCTAAAAACTTTGTTTCGGTCACAAAGTTTGTTACACGAAAGGGACAAAGACCTAGTTACACTTAGACCTAAACATTGAAAGTTTTCAAGCGTGGGTTAGCTTCAAAGTAAAATCTGGTGCATATACAAGCTGTGCATTTTACTATGTTTCTTAACCACTGAATAAATCAGTGACAAGTGAGTCTTGGCTACAATAACGCTCAAACCTGCTTAGTTAAACAAGATTTTGTCCCAATTAATTAACTTTCATGCAAAGGCGTTTCAAATTCATAATAATTAATGATGGTACAAAACTTACTTGTTTATGACGTGTTTGTGTCCAAAGGTCAGCTAGTGTAGGACTTGAATATTATTTTCACACAAAATTATGAAAAATTTACTTGAAATTTCTTTTTTGCTTTTGCTAATTCTTATAATACGAAAACTATAAAACTTCCGGATAACCATATTAAAATATGTGTTGAAAAGATTTGTAAAATTTGATTTTGTGAAAATTCTTTATGAATCTACTACACGTGCTAATGATGTTAACTTAGAATCAAACGCGTTTACCTAAATTAAGTTATTTTGTTTTCTTTTTAGTGTCTATATCTTTTTGTTCAAGGTAATCTCATTCTTCATCTAATATTTGTATCGTCTTCACAAATATCAGATGTCAGAGAACTGAGTAAGTTACTTTTATTACCAATTTGTAGTCCACAAACGAATATACTGTTATAGTTCGGATGGTTCATAATTGAGAAAATAACCTATGCTCTTTATCACGAATTCGATAGATGTGAGTGGCCCTTATATTGGCAATGGTTAGACACAAATCTTGCCTTATCCTTTTGTTGGTTTATTAGCATCTTTAATAAAGAGAGAACTCATGGTGTAGTAAAGTTTTCCTAAATCAGATTCTTCTTGGACACACTCATATTTGGCCGTACTCTTCGCCCGAAGTATGTTTTTATACCTTTAATGTCTCCCATATGGTAGCTATTTTGATTTAAGTAGAGGGCTATCACACTAAAACCCCATTCGCCCCTAGCTTTTGCAATTAATACCCACAACCCGTATCTAATCATTTCGAGGGGTTTTGGAATTTGCTCGAGAGAGGATGATTTAGGATTTAGGAAGACAGACTGCTTTCTTCCTTCTGATGTTAAGTTGTGGCATGTGGCCCAAACTTGTAAGGTCCTTTTATCATCAAATTAAGCTTTAAGTATTCCTCTCTGACTGACAGTTTCTTATAACAATTCCTTTGTTCATCAGTAGTCACTAGTATATTTTACATGAATATAATTTTGAAATGATTGTAATTAATATATATTTTAAGTAAATGAAAGTCAAACTAATGGGATGCTAACCTGTAAGTTAGCAAACACTGTAATGTAAAATAAAGAAAGATACAGTGTTATCAACATAGTTTATTGTTACCAAAGTCAATACTGTATTCAAAATTGGCTATATCCTGTTTGAAATCAGTATAATTTTTTTTTCTATAAGCTAAGTTAGACCAAAAACTATTTGATAAAAAAGGTTAGTCAACAAAACTATTGAAAGCATTTTCACTACAAACAAAAAGTTTTTCTCATGCAAATCATAATCTAAAAGTAGACAAAATTAAGGCAGCATAAAAATTAAACAATTAGCCAATATAACCTTTATTGACTGAAATGACAAGGGATTCATTGTGTTTGTGGTTTTCGTCTTTTAGGGTAGATGGGCTTTAAGGAGTTGAGCTACATGGTAGAGCGAGACCTATGGGAACACCTTGTTGTAAGGAACGTTTTTGAACAATTTTCGTGCGATATTTCCTAAAGCCAGGTCTAAAGCTGACTCTACGGGTGCCTTCATGTCTTGGTAAATTTCTTTCCAGTTGTCATTCAAAACCAAATTCATATTATTGCCTAGAAAACATTAAAACATAAATGAAAATTCAACATCGGAACAGATTTGATACATGCTAAAAAGAATGTTTATAAATTCTCCTGTCCAAACACTAGGATCTTGTAAATATTCCTAAGTTATTGAATAGAACCCTACAATTTCTGTGGCATTTTGTATTTAAGTTGTTGTGGGTTAACGGGTTCATTGCATTAACTGTCTCGTATATGTACGACATGTAACTTTTATAGTTTGGCGTAATTAAAAAGTTGTACAATATTTCACATTACCCACACTCTATCAGTGGTTGAATTAATGGACTCAACATGGAATTTAACTCCTACTTCAGGGAAGTGTATCTTTAGTCAAGGTTGGAAATAGCTCTATGGTGAGCGGAAACCCAAAATTAGAATGGTGGATGAATATTAGAAGAATTGTAAAATAGAGATGTAATACAACATGAAGAGAGGTTGCATATTTTTGAATAGTTGCAATACTTGTGAGTATCTTTATCAACAGGATTTGCGTTGTTAATTTACTCTTAAGGTATAATTTATAAGTGCACAATGTAAACAATTCCTCATAAAACATATTATACTTTGAAGCTTCTAAAAATAGTATTACTTCCAAAACCATAGGCAACATTTGTATGATGTCAAAAAACCGTTGTACAAATAGTTAGGTTTTAAAACTAGACCCAAACAGACCATCTGAAGGCAGTTTATTAGCAAAAAAGAAATTGGTAGAAAGCCTTCTAAATGGTGTTAAACTATTGCGGATTCTATTTCTCTATTGATTTTTCATAAATGATGATTGATGAATCACAGCAAAATTAATTATAATGAATTAGCCTAGTTATGAAAAGATTGGTTAGTTAACCAAATTAATTGTTAGAAAGAAGAAACAGTGTTAGTCAAAATACCCGTCCTCCATGCAAAAATAAAGTCTAACAGCAGACAAGAATGGAGACATTAGAAAAATCATACAATTTGTCAATTGAAACTTTATTGACTGAAAGTAGAAAGGGGATGAGTATTACTGTGAATATTTTTGTTAATGAGATTCAGGATGTTGGAGACCTAGGGAAAAACTCTGTTGTAGGGGACAATTTTGAACACTTTTTTTGTAGCCTCTCGGAAAGCCAGGCTTAAAGCCGATTCGACTGGAGCCTTCATGTCCTGGTAAACTTCTTTCCAGTTGTCATTCAATACCAAATTCATATTATTTCCTAAAAGCCATAAAACAACAATGCACATTATTAGCTTTTAAATGCTTTTACTCTGGTGTATTGGGTTGCTTTGTTCTAAATTGGAGTTCAAAAGTAAGGAGCTGGTAAATATTGTTCAATTATTATCATTCAAATAACATTTTACCTATCAAAACTTTCTACAATTAAAATGCAATGTATGTAGAACTACAATTTTAAAATGGTTGACTTGTACAACTAGATTTAGATATATCGTAGAAATTCCAATTTTAAGGACTAGTGTAATCAAAGAAAACATATTATAATCTAATTATTTATTTTCTATTTTATTTCCTAGTCAAAAAATACTTGATGGGTAAATAAAAACATAAAAGTTTGCAATGCTGTATGCCACTTTTTTCGTTAGACACGACTAAAAAGTTTGTTCAAAAGTACCCACTCTGTTCTAATTACTGACTAAACCGTTAACATGGGGTTAAAGTCTATTTCAAGACTCGGGGGCAAGTAATCTAGTTACTTCATACAAGTATCCCAGATCTAATGGTTAATGAATATTGGAAGGGGTTGAAGTAGACATGGAATATTGCATACATAGAGGTTTCAAAGACTAGAAACCTCAAATAAACTATTCAAATGAACTATTACGGGAGATAAGTTGTAGATGTGTTATTGTTACATTGATGAACATAATAATGAAGATAACTTCTCATTCAAACATCAATAGCTGAAAATACACACTCGAATAAAAATTTCTACAAAGATTATTAATAGGCTACTATAAGTTAAGTATGTTCCAATGTCATATATCACCATTGACTATGTATTTTGTGTAGACATGTCATTGATAAGGCAAAACCAAATGCATGTTTATTGTTTCGTACTTAAAATAGGTAAATAAACCCCTCATAGCGTGCTACTGTTTCTGATTTTTTAATGCAATAGTTGATAGATACATAACTAGTAAAGTTTATAAAGTAGACCTTTGATATAACACGAAATGAAGTGGTTGACAGGAGTTGGTAATTTTCACCACACCATTCATTCATTCAGTTAACACGCCATTAGGAATATGTAGGCAATAGTAGTTTACGCAATGATTGCTTTAAGTGAGTCTTTACGACACGAGTAGAAAATTCAAGGCACGAGCCTTGGCGAGTGCCTTAAAAACTTCTACGAGTGTCGTAAAGACTATTAACGCGAGTTGCGTACACTACTTTACCTACGACCGTTTTTTGGTTACTATCAATCTGGATTTAATTACTAACAATCACTACTGATAACTTTTTAGAGAGGTTATGTTTTCGTGTATTGCCATTGCCACTGAAAGTGATGCAACGACTTGTTGTATAATCAGCTGATTTCCTGTAATTACGTGTTTGTTAAACTTCGTTAAATATTACATTGCTAGCAGCATTCTTACCATAAATAATATTGTATCAGGTACAATTCGGCAAATATTTAATTTATTTTTGGACTTCCACCAACTTAATTAAGAATACGCGAGTATCAACATGAACAAGTCGGTCAACAATTAAATTGGTCAACTGATCAGCTGATCAGCTGATTAGTTGACGTTCGAAGCATTACAATTTTAATTCTTTTCTCTCAATACTTGAACCTCATTGGTCCGTTACCTGTGTTGATATGAGAAAAACTATGCTGATATGAAATGAAACTATGCTGATATGAAATGAAACTATGCTGATATGAAAGTAAATAGCTGTAAAGTGAAACTTTTCAATTCTAAGAACTGAACTGAAATGGCTACTTTAAAAAAACGGTCGTAGGTAAAGGGGTTTTCATTGTAACATTATTCATGGTCCATTTAATAGTATGGATATATCGTACCATTGACTTGTGATACTGAAAAAGACATCGCATTTACACGTATCATCCGTTCTTTTCTCTACATTCTGTTGACAAGAAAGTTTATGTGACATAAAATCAGCTATAGTAACTTAATTCAGTTAAGTCCGGTTAGAAAAAAAAATATTGGACCAACTTAACACGGAGATGACATGTCTAGTTGTATCAATTGTCAATTTAACAGAAACTACGCACTTTCAAACACCAAAACAATACGAAACATGTCCAACATATTCTAATTAATTTCTCTTTTGGTTTCAAAACAACGCCTTTTCAATCTATAACTTACCGAGCTCCTTGTTGCCGTTGAAGAGGTTTTCCAGGTCGTAATGAACCCTCTCTACATCTTTGACCACGAATTTGAGAGTGTTCACTTGAGCGTACTGCTTACCATCCTTGGTGATGGGCTTGCCGGAGAGATCGGTGATCTCGCCCTTCGGGTTTACTGGGGAAAAATATTTAGTCAAAACTGGTACCAAACTAATATGGTGAGATGATTGCTAATTGCATGACTTTTATTTATCAGCCTATAGTAATTTACTCAACGATCGCGTGAAGATAGAAGGTATCACTTGTAAGAACTTAACTGAAACACCTACTTTAAAATTGGTCGTAGGTAAAATAACTTAACAACATAAAAAATATAATAACATACCGTGCACTCGCCTTTGGCTCGATAGGCCCCCTTTTGTGGTTGGGATTGTTGGAAATATCCCCGGAGAAAATCTGTTACTTTGTTTTACGCGTTTTCGCATACGTTTTATACGAAATTTGTTCGTCAACAGCAAAAGTAGGCAGCAACATTGTTAAGTTGGTATATTAGTGTTCCAGCCCATTAGCCAGATTAGTTTAGCCTTGAATTGGCTGAGGCAATTATAATTTTTTGTGCGCCACAGTGCAAAAAAACAAACCTCCTTGCCAAGTGAGTTCCGCAGCCTCTGGTTATTATAAATAGGAACTACCAAATTTAATTAAAGATTTACTTTGAATATTGCAAGAAGAATCTTGTACTAGGCCTACATGTGCGTGGTTTTTTTGAATGAGTCAAACCACTCGATGGCATCGTTGAATTTAAAATTCATACCGTATCCTAATCGGATGTAAAATAGGTCTCTTCATTCGCCTAATGGGTTTCATGATGAGTGGAATACCCAATCGAAATCGAAGTGTAAATATATGTTTCAACTGCTATTAGACGTATTTTTATTAACTTTCCGAAAAATAGGTGGCTACCTGAAATTTTTATACAAAAAGATTTTTCACATTTAAGCTGTCTTAATTTTCCTTACGAATTTTATGTTTTTGACTGCAGTTCTTGAAAAATCTAACCTAATATGAATACCAGGTGTTTCATATTCGCATGTTCAATATGGATGATGTTTCGATTTGTGTTTCATGTATCCAAGATCAGCTGTTTATCAAGCCAGGGCCATTGATTAAGACCTATAATAACACATATTGCGTTTTAAGGCAATTAAGCTATACTATAGTTGCTGAGGTCCTAAAATCATATGCTAAAGGGCGATTTGTTTAGTAAGGTGTGAACAGTTTAAAAAATCAACAGAATAATTTAAAAATTAATTAAAATATGTTATTTACTAAAATCATTTTAATAGTACCTATAACTAACTGTGGGATTTGTTTTAAATTCACATCCCTAGAAGCTGCAGTGAAATACAATGTAAAACACAAAAGCTTTCACGGTTTGGCGTAAAAGCTTTCAAAGAAACCGACTTGGAATAGACTAACGGATATAGTATTGAACTGTCATTCATATTGAAATGTTTGTTTTAACTGACAATGACATGGACAACTGGAAGAAACCCTTCTTTGTTCAAATATTGGGTATTAAATTAGAATTGAGCTGCCTACCTATTTACTTTTCCCATAACACAATTTCCTTTGGTATTATTAGTACATTACTATGTTAGCTGCTGTTTGTAAGAACAATTTTTTTTCTTTTTTTATTTGTAGCGAATTTCCCTATAGGAAAGTAGCTATTACCGTAGGTGGCATGGTAAAACCTAGACCTGGAAACGATTACTTTTTCATTTTGATGTCCCTAGAGGCCAAAAACGCGATTAGTTCCATTTTGTTTTATATGTATATATTTATTTAGTCCGTGAACGCGATAACTTGAGTTATGTTTGTCCGTTTTTGTTGAAATTTGGCTTAAAGGTGTAGGGTGTGATAGTGAGTTCGCGAACTAGCATGATCGGAATATGGGAACGGGGTGTTATAGGGTGTTTTATGGGGTAAAAAATAGGTTTTCTTTTTTTACCTCAAATCCTTAAATTTCCCAATTTTTATTTATATATTTTTAAAGGAAAAAACAAATAATTTAGTATATTGAAGTGTTTGTTATTTTAAAATAGGTGGTTTCGGATAAAATTCAATAAATTGTAAATTTAAAATTCCCATGTTATTCTTATAAAGAATAAGTAAACTGTTATATCCACACAAATTCTATTTTCACTATTGTAATTGTGGAAATTTACGTTTGTCAAATGACTAAAATCTGATTGAAGTTCATAACTACCAAGATATTATCATTTTGAGCAGTCAAAACAAGTAAGTGGTAAGTGGCTTTAAACATGTTTTATCCTGTTATAAACAATTTGAAGAAAAACGAGTAAATAATTAGAACACCCGTAATTTAACAAAATAATACAGTTTAATTGGCCTGTTACAATATTTGTCGATTCCGACAATATAATTCTCCCACAATTAACGTCGAAGATGCCAAACAGGATGAAACTGCCTTAATTGCGGCAATTTACACGTGCAAAATACCGCGCCAAAAGAGGCCTACATGGGCGTGGTAAACTGGTCTCCCGCGCAACAGCTGAACAGCAATCAGCTGGTTAAACAACTGATGACCTTGCCGAGGCACGCTTGATACTGAGAACACGGAACATCTAACTGATACTCAGTGATTTACTAAAAAGGTGTTTACATTTTTTTAAATTGTTAATATTTACAGATTTTGATGTTTTTTGCTTCGTAGTTTAAAGATCCATAAATGGCTTCTACTAAAGACCTGGAAAATAATTACAACAAAGATAAAGGTGTTAAAACGTCTTTATAAAATCCGTAAGAGAAAATTAATTTTTAGGGCAAAACTGAGGTTAACAAAATAATGTAGAATACAAGCTGGACAATTACTATGGGGGAGAAATATTAGTGTTAATCAGGATCGCGATCATGGAAATGTTGGCATATTATTTGAAATGAGGAATTATTTGCTTGTTCAAAGTCTTGATTGGTTGTGCAAAGAAATGCTTGATTGATAATGTAAGTTTGAATTGACAAAAGTAATTTTGGGTTATCCAGAGTAATTCTTTCTTACCCTAAGCCCATATCTGTAAAAAGTGACATTTTCCAAAGTATATATGTTTGTCCTGCATGCTTTTTGCTATCTTCCTTTTAAAAGTAATTGGCTACCCCAAGAACGATTTATTTTTCACGATACCTTGTTTTATGTATCGTTTGCTTCTACAAAGTGTTGTTTGTGTGTCCGAAGTACTATGAAATAGTTTAAAGTAAAATTTGCTGTAATATTGGTTTAATTTGTGTACCTTTAGCTTGCCTTGTGTAATGTTATAATGGTATGTAATGTAATGTATGTTATTATGTGTATGACTTTTGTCATACAGAGCAATGATTGCTCAAACCATTTAAAACTTTTGTGTTAAACCTTTTGGCTCTACGAAGTAATGTAACATTTTTGGTTTGCTTTAAGTAAGGTTTGCTTGTTTGGATGAATTATAGCATTTCCGATAAAGGTTGTGTTTGTACAATCTGTAAGTAATTCTGATTACTGTTTGCTTGCCCCAGGTAATTTTTGCACACCCTAAGTATTTTTTTGTTTCCTTAGGTCATTTTCCAATCCCAGCTCAATATTTTCTTACCCTAAGTACAGTTTATTTACCCAAGGTAATGTTGCACTTGCCGGATCCCTCAATAGGTAGAACCAGAACCTTGCCTTTGATCGTGTAATCGCCTTGCAGCAGAATCGGACCTTCGATGTCGATCTTTGCCTTCATCTTGTAGTTATCAACATCCATGCTGTGGAACAAACATTTGAGTTACCAGAACAAACGAAGCACATGCATCAAAATTAAAAATATTTTTGTAACTAACCTAACTAACCAACAGTACTAACCCTAACACAAATCATTGAAAATGAAGAAATCGTCGATGAAAGTACTTAAAGAATTTATGAAACACGCCAAGTTTAAATTGCAATATAAATTAAGTACGATACGCAAAAGCTAGGATCAATCGTCAATCAAACTTTTCAGTTTAATGTCGAAACTGTCAATTACCTTTACCGAATGAAATACGTGTTTTCTGCCATATAAACTTAGTTTGAACTTAAGCGGTAAATTGCGTGCCGTTAAACTTTCAGTAGCAACCAGTATAATATAGGTTTCTCTGCGCAGCTCCCGTTTATGCAATTGACTTTGAATAGTACAAAATTATACTTCGCATCCTATTGTAAAATCTTTTGCTTGTTTTTGTGTTGTCCATTTTGGGAGCGCTAATGTGTAATCAATGTTTTTATCTTATTTTAGGGTTGATTATACAACAACCCTTTACTCTCTGGTTGTAATACAATTGACCAAGCAACGTTAAATAGAAACGTTGAAAATATGGCCTACGTTATACATATGATAAGTCTATCCACGTATAAATCTATCATACTTGCGAATTTCCTGAGTATAATCTTCTTGGTTTTTAGCGAATTTCCCTATAGGGAAGTAGCTATTACCGTAGGTGGCACGGTAAGACCTAGACCCGGGACTGATTTACTTTTTCATTTTGATGTCCCTAGAGGCCAAAAACACTATTCGTTAAAATTTTTATATATGTGTATATTCTTCTAATATATAAAATTCTCGTGTCACAGTGTTTGTCTGCAAACTCCTCCGGAACGACTTCACCGATCGTTATGAAATTTGGTGTGTAAATTCTGTAGGTATGCGAATCGGACGTAAACTATTTCCCGTTACGAAATTCTTAAAAGGGCTCCGCCCCAGTGGCTCTGGAGTTTCCCATGTTAACCTTATGAGAAATGGAATTAATGAATCTTAACAGCTGTTTCAATTAAACAAGTTGGTTCTGTTCTATGATGTTCAATAGCATTACAGTTACAAGGATTACCAACAGGGTGCAGCACTATTATTTCTTTTACATTTATGACAACAGCTAATTTGCAACCAAAAGGTGAGTGAGCGTAGCGAACGAACTTCAACCTGGAGGCGAGTTAGCGTAGCGAACGAGCTAACATGAAGGCAAGTGAGCGCAGCGAACGAGCTCCAACCTAAAGGTGAGTGAGCGTAGCGAACGAGCTCCAACCCAAAGGTGAGTGAACGTAGCGAACGAACTTCAACCTGGAGGCGAGTTAGCGTAGCGAACGAGCTAACCTGAAGGCAAGTGAGCGCAGCGAACGAGCTCCAACCTAAAGGTGAGTGAGCGTAGCGAACGAGCTCCAACCCAAAGGTGAGTGAGCGTAGCGAACGAACTTCAACCAGGACGTGATTGAGCGATGCGAACGAGATCATCTTGAAAATTAAACGTAACGGTACTTTCTTTCCATCGGTCTGTCTTAGGGGAAACCTATAACTTAGGCGATACGAAGTTCGCCGGGTCAGCTAGTATATATATATATATACGTCCGTGAACGCGATAACTTAAGTAATTTTTGTCCGATTTTGATGACATTTGGTTTAAAGGTGTAAAGCGGGATAAACTTGAATGAGTTCGCGAACCAGCACGATCGGACCATGGGAACGGGGCTTTACGGGGGGTTTTATGGGGTAAAAATTGGTTTTGCTCACTTTTGACCCTCAAAACACAAAATTTCCCAATTTCTCTTTAGACCTTTTTAAAGAGCTTAAAAAAACAAATAATTTAGTATATAAAAGTATTTTTGTTCGATTATTAGTAACGGAGAAAATTAAAAAAATTGTAAATTTAAAATTCCCATGTTATTCTTATTTAGAATATTGTCAAATGTTGTAGTTTGCTTGTTTATGAATATATTTTGATCAAACTCGGCAAATTTATTTATTTTGTACTAAGCTATCAATATTTTACTCAAAAACACACTTTATTAGTTTCCTTGTAGCAGCAAACCTAGGTAACTCGTTAAACCTAATGTTATTAAAATATATTTAACTGAAAATCAATTCAGACAAATGGAAATTCGCTTAGTCGGCAGGTTTGCTGCGGCGGGGGTATTATTGTTACCTTTCTGTCCTGATAAAGTTAATAATTCTATCAATCTTCTCCCCACGCGTCAATATGTGGCGTGAAAAACATATTTACCGTGTCTATCAGTTTGATCAAATGAATATTTATCTAACTCAATAATGCTTTATGTATTCACATACCTCCCTTTTTACTCAAGTTTCCCGGAATACTAACAATTACCATTTTAATCTAGGATTTAATCTCTTTTTGCAACCTTGGAAAAGTGTTTTTGCGAGTGTCATTTATAGACTGGTCTGAATGGATCAAGCTAATTTATGTTCCCACATACTACGGACGTAATTAATTAAACAATCCTTAAACCTTTCCTTGTGCAGATTCTTTGTTGGATTTCTTATCGGTGTAATTGGTGATATTTAAAACTTAGAGTTAATTAATGTTAATGTTTATGGCTACTAAAGCAAAAAATAATATAGCAAGACTAAAAGAGTAGTATATACGTGTACATTTTTAAGTTTTAAAGATGTTGTGGATAAAAAACCCTATAGTTTTTCCGGTTAAGAATATTAGTTTTGTAATTTACTTTTAAGTTTGAATCTTTTTCTGACCTTTCAGATACTCTTGTACACTGGGCTTGGACGTGTGCGTGGAGAGAATACAGCACATCAAGGAGTGAAGAAAAGTAAATTAAAGAAAGATTTAGTGGTAGATACCACAACGCGAACCCACTACATTAGTTCTCAAGGGAAAGTAATATACCTAACACCTTATTAAGTTTCAAACAACAACCAATTTGTAATCAAATGACCTAATTCGTGACCTTCTTCTTTTTAGCTCTTCTTTGGGTGAGGGGGGGAGGTTGTATTTCTTCTCAGTAACATGCAACCAACTAAAACGAAGGCTAAACAAGAAAAATAATGTTTCTTGTGTTATTTCATTTATTGACGATCACTGGTGGTTTAGCTTATTAGTAATTCGGGGTTAAATCCTACACATTTGTCGGAGCTCACTGAATCTTCATCTTGAATTACCCAAAACACAATACTTAATCCCTTCTGTCATTTTTACCATCCAGCAATAATTCTAGTTTTTCTGCTAGTTTCATGTTGAATATATTCCCTGTCTCATTCACCCAACTGTGTACCGTACAAACCACCGTGGGAACCTTTCAATTATGTCCAAATTAGTAAACTCAGAACATTTAGTGAAAAAATAATGAGAGTGCAAAATACTGAGAGAATATTTGTTTAAGTAGGGGTAGTCTAAATTGCGAAAACCATTGTGACCATCGAATGTTTGGGACTATTTGGAAATCATGTACAAGTACTTACTCGACGCTCTTGATCTTAGCGTTCTTTAGTCCGATGATGTCAAGGTTCTTGAAGCTGATGTCAACATTGACTGCCTTCTTCTGATTGCTGCCTTTGGTCACCTGCAGAGACTCAACATGCAGAGGGTCGATGGTGAGGAGTCCGTACTCGGGCAAACCTGTGGATAATTATTTTACATAGTCAATTAGTTACATGGTTAAGTCCTTCGGCTACATATGGATGAGTAGTCTGACAACACGGTTGAGCGAATTGGCTACATGATTAGGTCATATAACAACTTGTTTGAGTAATTTTATTGGATAGTTAAATAATTTGACCATTAACGTATGATTTGACGGTTAAGTATTGGCTACTTGGTTAAATCAATTTATTGCATAGTTAAGTCATTTGATTGCAGCATGATTTTATCGTGATTTGATCAAGTATTTTCCCCACTTGACTACTCATAAGAATAAATTGAAGTCCATGTATGGTATTCTAAGGCAGAACTCGACGTTTGACTTTCGTTTACACTTTAAAGCTATTCGCTATTCGCTAATTTTTCAGAAGAAAATAGCCTAAATTACTTCAATACTATCGTATTGTTTTGTGTGTGTTTATAATCGTGTTATATTACACATTATACTACAATATATGTACCCCTTTCTCGACATTGAGACAAACTCCGTGTAAAAAGTAAGGCAATATGCAGTCGAATACTTTTTTGAGATTAACGTAAAGAATTCCGGATAAAAATAATTCAGTATGACGAAATAAAAAATCCTTCACTCGTGCAAAAAGTTTATTTTTCGATTCCCACTCATTTTCCTATCTAAGATTCGCCAATGTTGTCAAACTAGAGCTCGTATCGTAAACAGTAGTTTTGACCTTTGATAAATGACACTTATTTGTTATTTGTCTGCGATAAAATTATGTAGCTTAGATTTCATTTTACAACGTCACAGCAAGTTTCAGCATACAGTTAACAGTTGAAATTACTTGCTCTTTGAATCTTGATTCACATGAGACCGGGCATAACTTTCACAATGGAAGTGACATGTCGCCTTAATGAAGTTGCTTCGATATCTGCATAGCGACGCATTGACTGTGAACACATTTATCGGATGGCAAATTAATTTAAAGAGCAGATCAAGTTGTCTACTTAACGTGTTACGTACAATTTTCGATCAAATGATACTTTAACTAAAGGGGATTTAAAAAGGTATAATTTGTATTTAACCCCCCCCCCTTCTACACATAATTACACAAAGTTTACTGAGCTACATATTACTCTTTTTATGCAAGACTTCAAAATAGTTTTATCTGAACAAAGTAAAATCTGTCAAGCAAAATAAAATATTTCAAAGTGTGTATAAGCTAGTACTCATAAACATAATTTGTTAAGAATATAAAAAACGAATTCGTGCTAAGTAAATAGCTGTTGAATTTTTTTTATCATAACTACAGTATGTTTCTTTTTGTATTTAGATTTATGAACCAAACTGTGTAGAAAACTTCCAACCCCGCAACATTTACCTCATAATTTTATCTCTAATTTTAGGAAACTTTTCATAATTACTACCTCGTACACGTCGGGCTGGTTTAAGAACGGGAGATTAAATTCTTAACTACTTTATCGTCAATTTCAGCTGAGAAATGTTTCTTGAAACCATCGCGCTGAATATGTTAAACAGTGACACAAAATAATTGAAAACAGACTAGTTAAAGATTGAAAAATGTATTATTTAAAAAGTTTCGTTTTGAATTAATTATACTTTGGGTTTGTGGAGATTATTTGGAAGTTGGTTAATCTTATATCGTTGGTTCCTTGAATATTATATGTATACAATTTTTTAAGTTTGGTCACAAGAATATCTTAAAACTCAAAATATGAACCCTAACTGCGGCAAAGTTTTCTAAATTCTTTTTAATATGGTAAAACCTAAAATATTGTAAAAGACAAATTAAACATTAAACTATACATAATTTATTATAACTCATGGAAATTAGATTGTTTGAAATAGCTGCAATAACAAAATTGACTTTCTCTTCTTAGCTTTTTGAACCGATTTGTGGAGTACCGACCTATTTTCATATACACGGGAGTTTGTTCAGGGTGAACTAGATTTATCCGTCACAAGATTACCTCCCTGTCAACAATGATAAGGGTTAAGAAAATATTGGGTCGGGGTCCATCTGATACACTACCCTGTTGGAATATTATTTTCACTGTATCTAATTTCCATTATCGTATCACATAATTTTTCATGCGCCGATCTCTACATAGCTTAATTGATCGTAAAAAAATAATTTTCTACATTTTTAATGTCACGTTTTTATTTATCCGTCAAACTGTAATACTATTCAACACAATAGTGGATGGAAAAACTACAATATTATAAGATTGCACTTAGCCGAGTTTTGAATAAAGACTAGTAAAACTAACAATTGGTTGTAACATTTTCATGTCTATTAACAATGTTGTTAAAAATATATAGATGCGCTCTTAGTAAATTGATTCTCTCCCAAAACTAGAGGGCATAATTTCTAGAATATTTACTTGCAAGTTATACTCTACTGATAATTTAAAGATATACTCTGCTATATAAATATCTCCAATATTTAAGTATAAAATTAATAAATGTTATTTGTATGAAAATAAATAAATATATATTTATTTTATTAAGAAGCTACAAAACAGTCCATGCTAATTACATTGGTGCATTAAGCATGCAAAAAGAATGTTTGCAAGAGTGATACAATATAGAAAATAAACAACAACAAGGGGGAAAAAATGTCCGTCTTCTATCGTGGCAGTCTTGTAACAATTTCATCCAAAATATAAATAATTTAAATCAAAATATAATAAAAATTTTATCTATTGTTGACAAAATATTAAAATACTCGTTGCACTTAGTTTCATTATACTTGTAAGTATAAATACCATTGACAAGAGGATTATGATTACTTTATCTTGTCTGTGGTAAATACAGTAGAGTATTACTTTGATATTATTATTCGTATTAGTATTTTATTAAAAGTATGAAAACCCCCTATTTCGTGCACATGTTTGATAAAAAAGCTTTCTACTTAGTTGGTGAATTATCTAAAATGTATCAAATATCTTATATCAAATATGGTACTAGCGTATAAACTACCCACTTAAGAAAGAAAATTTTACTATAAAAAATTCACTTGAGGTTCGATTTCCCTATAGGTTTCTAGGTAATATATACACAAAACCTCTTCTATTATGCGTTATACTTCAGGTTTAAAAGCGTGACCTTCGTTTTTCCTCGTTTGCGTTAGCGTATGAACTGGTTAGTCTCTAATTAATTGTACTTGATTCCATTCGAAGTAAATGGCATCTTGATTCCATTGTTATATGTGGAAAATGAGGAATTATTCAACAACAATTAAGTGTGCAATCGGGTTGTGTTGATGTTGTGACGCAATTCTAGACTTTGTTCATTCTTCCTACCTACAAATAGTTGCGATTATTTTAGCGTTGCATTTAATTTAGTTTTTGTTTATGCGTTCAAAGCTCTGGGTTTGTTTTACAGTTGTAAACGTTTAAGGGAAGAGATTCGCAGAATTATGGTACATTTAACAAAATATGCTATTCAATTATTATTTAATATGCTATTCAATGTTTATTCCAAACATTGCTATCACCAAACCAGCTATAATTGCTACAATTGCTATAAAAGCAGTGACAAAATGAGAATCTCTACTTGAAAAAGAAATAAAGAATAGATTAAGCAAATAAAGTAATCTACATTATATCACGTTGTAAATGGAAACCAAGAAGTTGAATAACAAAAAAGAAGTAACTAACTGCTTCACGGGAATGGATGGAACAATTACTTAAAGATCCGCGATCGGTTGGCAGTGCTTATTATTATCAGTAGTGCTGGACTGATATAATATATTACATATTTTCATAATGAATTTGTTTTTGAAACCACTAAAGCTCTCTAAAGCCGGGTTTTCCTAGGCGCGGAGTCGGCGAGCGGAGAGAGGAACGCGGAGAGCGGACTCCACTTGTCTTAGGCAATTTAATGTTACTGTTTTCCTAGAAGCGGAGCCGAATGCCATGTTAATTTCAATTCCGCTCTCCGCGTTCCTCTCTCCGCTGGCCGATTCCGCGCCTAGGAAAACCCGGCTTAAACAAGTAAATTGATTCATAGAACCGCTCTAGTTTAAAAGCATTTTCAAGAGCAAACCACGGGTTATAGACACATACAGATCCACTTCTAAGCTGTAAGGATTAAAAACCCATCAGCGCGATTAGGTGTTTTCTAAATTATACTTTAAATTCATAACAATGTAAAAGGAGATTAAGTTTCATAGTAATATATGATGTGTTTCACATAAAACAAAGTATTTTCGTTTATAATGTATTCAACCAATAACGGTTACTTCATGTAGAAAGTTTCTTTATAGAAAGATGAAGTTCTGTGATTGTAAAACTAAATTTGTATTCATCACAAATACTAGATTTTGACAGTTTAAGCAATAATTTATTGTTTCGTAACTTTCTATACTGATATAAATATATATTGTTTACTTTATGCTGTAAATAATAATTATTTGAACAATTTTGAAATTTTTTTTTTAAATAACGAAGTGAACTTTTAACAAATATCGTTCATCCTATATGATAACACATATTATTCTCTTAGAAAATATTTGCAAGCCAAGGGAAATATTTACATAATATTCGTAAATCACCACTTATCGAAGGAAAAATCATGAATGAGTTAATATTTTAAGACTTTTTAGTGTTTTAGCGAATTTCCCATGTAGGGAATAAGCTATTTTTTTGTGATTTGAGAAGCTTATTGATTTTTTGAAGGAAAAAAGTTTAACTGAATTATTTGAACGAATAACAGTCTGTATGAATACCCAAGACTATTCACATTTTGGACTTTGGTTACTAGTATTAGTTTTGAACATTTGTTTGAACATACATTACAAGCATTGTCAAAATGTTTAGCAGCTATATCCATTTGTATGATACTTTGTAAACTATTTGGGTTTACTTAAAGATTGCAAAGCAAATGCGCTGTTTACCAAACTAGTCCATAACATTGATAAATACATATTTTAAAACAATTTGTTAAATACACAAAATAATAAAGCATGGCATTACCTTTCACAAGCTCCGGTACTGCCCTCTGTAGAGAATCTCTGACACATTCGTCCAGTTTATCTTTTGGCTGACCCCTTTTGCATGCCTTGAACCTGGGTGCTGGAAACAAAGCTCATGTTAGACATGTAAATAGTATAACATGGTGGCCAAGCTTGGCTAGGTGAAGGTTGTTTACAAACAGCTCAACGTGATCTATTTGAAAACGCTTAATTCTAATGGTCAGTGTCAGGTTCTTTGGCATACAAGGGAATCGGTGAGTACATGTTCAAGGTAGAAAGTAAAATGTACTTACAAAGCAGATATGACAAAATTTAGAAAAAAATTGTCATATATACAATGCTCAAAATGTTCGTAAATGATAACACACCTTTATAATAAATGTAAACAAATCAAGATGTAAGTTTTTAAAAAGAAGTCATGATTAAAAGTCAAACGTCTTTACGTCTCCTGGTTCAACCATCTAGTTCTTTGTATTTTAATAAATATTTTCTCCTAAAAATTCTTTATAGATTGACAGTCCACATTACTATTGCAGGTTGAATTTAATGCATTCTTATTTTGCATTTAAAATAACTTGGGGCAATCTCGTCTTACATTTTGTTATTGGACTGCTTAAATTATTTTTTTTTTATGAAAATGTTTCCCATTTAATTTGATTTGAACGATTTATCTAAATAAGCGGAGGGGTGTTCGCAGGTAAATCTGTCCAATGTCCTCATCGGACCAATTGTAGTGTCAGGCTACATAGTTTACTATTCAACCCTACATTGATTACGATGCTCATGTAACATTACACGCATGCAGCAATAAGTGTTAAATACACCATTGGCATTAAATATGGTATTGGTATCTAATTTCTGTCAGTTGTGAAAAGATGTCCTAGTCATAGAATTTTTTTTAAAGATAATCACAATACATAACAATGCATATATAAGAACAATATATAACAAATTAAAATACTGTTCAATTAGAAATCATCATTAGTCTATTATGTGATAAAAGGAACTGGTTTGCCTTATTTTAAAGTAGGCCTACACTGTAGGCTATTATATTAACAAAGTGTAAAATAAATTGCCTGAATTGAAATATAATATCTTTTTAAGATTAGTCTACATGAATAATATGTCACTAGTTATTTATCAAATTCTTATTATTTCAATAAGAACAAGAAACACCACAAAAAGAAATTGTCCTTATGTCTAAAACAATTTAAAAAATTATAATTATGATTTATACTTATTATATACAGTTATAAACTAAGGTTTATTTTATTAAAGCGTTTTGCTCATTACAGCCTTAGTTTACTTAGAAAAAGTATTTAAAATAATAATTACTATTAAAGCTTTTATAGAATGAATTAGCCATTACGGGTTATGAAATTTTAAAAGAATTAATTTGGTTTATTAAAGAATCTTTAAATAAAGTATTCAAAGAATAATTTGCGTGAAAGATTTTAAATTATATTGTTTGGAGAGGTGGTAAGATAAGAGAGTACCTTATCATCTTGGACTATTTTATGACTGAGGCAATGTCATTCACCTTTGAAAAGACGACACTTTTATCCAACAATGTTTACAAAACTACTCTTAATAAATGCTCTCTATTCATATTTTGATTAACCTTCTTTAGCTTTATAAGTATTACTATTTTATAACAGTGTTTTTATTTGATTTCGTATGTATTGTCACCAAACATTTTGTCAATACATCAACAAGGTTTTTCTCTCAACTGCTGTGTTTTCAATTACGGCTTCATTTGTTTGCACACAATAATATAACTAACTCGTTTGTACTAATAAAATAAATAGCAGGTAAAACGAACTATTTTATTATCTGTTGTAAATTAATTTTGAATAGGTTCAATTTGTGGTGAATAGGGTATTTCTATGTAGGCAAAGAAGAAAATTGCCTTTGGATGAAACATTAAGACTTTGAAAACTAAATTATTCTCCCTAAACAGTGTTTGTTCATAACAATTATTCAAAAATTAAAAATGCATAATTAAGAACATAATTAAGAAGAATAAAAAGTATATCGTAATGAAAATTTAATTCGACTTGAAATTGTATCTGTAGCCTATTTAAATTTAAATACAGATACAAATTTAAATTGTATACTTGTATTTACAGTTATTTATTATTGTTATTTACTTGTATTGTACAGATACTTGTATTCAAATTGTATCAAAATTCATGTGAAAAATATGACCAATGGATAAAAAATTTAATGTAAAGATACTAGACTAATTTTCAAGTATATTTTAATTTGTTTAATCAAAAAGGATTTACAGTCCAACAATCCTTTATCCAATAAATAGCGTTAATGATAGCATCCAAGAGTTCTTGGACTACAGAAACTTGGATATTGTAAATTATGGTATGTAAGTACTAGGAGTAATATGTAAATACCTAGCCTACTGATAACAAGGATTTTTGATAATACAACTTACTGTCAACTTTGGCTGAATGAAATAATTTTATTTTACAAAAAAATCTGATTAAAAACTGTTATATATTTGTTTACCTTTCTGAGCCAGAGAAGGCGTCAGCAACACAGCACAGGCTATCAGCACCGTCAGCATCTGCAGATAGGCCGCCATCCTGACGTGTGATTCAGCAGACAATATCAGCACAAGTGTTCTGCCTTGTGTTAGACACACTACATATACCAGCCACCAAGGTCAAGGCTTCCAGGCAGTAGCTGTGGGGTTCATTACTTTTGCTGCTCGAATTAACTCGTTTCGCCCTAAAAGTTGACAAAACAAAATACGTACGGAAAAGAATTTGTAAGTTTAATGAGGACATTATTTCACAGTAAATAGTTTGAAATTTTAAACAAAGTTGTTTCTTTTTATGGGTGTTAAAACGTCATGGGTATTATTTTGGGGAACCGCAGAAACTCTTGCCTTGTTACTATCTAACGTCAACCTTTTTGTTAGGTAGAGTCTATTACATCAGTTGTACGAATTTCCTCTTTTAGTTGTTTGAATCATTGACTAAACATTTATTCCTCAAATAAGGAAATTTATTTACGAGGAATTGTTTAAGGTGGAATGCGTTATCTCGTTAAAATGAAAAAGTTTTGTTAGTAGAATGTTGCATCTGAGTCAAGAATCGTCCCCACTTGGAATTAAACTATCAACCTTCAGATTTCAGTACTATAACCATAACCACTCGTCTCCCCAGATATTAATATATTTGGTAAATTATCAGGGGTCCTGTGTTTTAGGAAAATGTTTTAAGTGTATAATATTTTTGTAAATTCAAACAAATATTGTTTTTCGTAAAAGAATATGGTTTTTAGAGGAGCTTGTAATTATGGTTCATTTTAAAGCTATTCGCCTACTGGGTCTGATGATGATTGGAGTGTCCAATCGAAATCGAGCACCATTTACCATCTTTCATATGTATTTACAGTGTTGTTAGTAAAAATTTTAAGTGTAAAAATATTATTAAAAGTATTATTTGACGTATTTTGTACTTTCAGATTTTTAAGTTGGCTACATCTTCATCATGTGATTATTAAGTATATTTTAAAGTATGTTATCGGTAGTCAATGGTGATGGTTAGTAACTCATTGTATTGCATAATTATTTTCTTTGTAACCTCTCTTTCGAGCTGCATTGATTATTATGTCATAATGGGTGTAATAGTAGTTTTGACCAAACCAAATTACGAATTTCTCTTTGGTTAAAGTTGAAGGACCACAATGAGTATTTAAAGTAAATAATACAAAATCAGAATTGTAGCTTCGTTGTGAGGAGAAAGTAGTTGCTTTACCAAAGCTCAACGGTAGCTATTAAGTGTAAGAAATAAATCCTAAGCTTACAGTAAATCAATGATTGATTGATGGATTCTCATATTATGAAACTTTGAATTGCTGCTTTCAAATAGTTTAGGAACTTGGTGATCTGTCATCTGTTATTCTGGTGAATTTCATATGTTTTACACGGGGTGTTTTTATTAAAACGCAACTAATATCCCGTACCATAAGACACTGTTTAACGACAATGTATTCTTTATTTTATTGCCAATTTTCTAACATGCTTAGCTGCATAGTTATCTATGAGTTTTAGTTTTATTGGGAATTTATTGCGAACGAGTCTTAACTTGAGATTTTCGCAAGCTCTGTTTGAGCTCTGAAAACCCTAAGTCTTATTTACAATTAATTATCAATAACTAAAATTCATAGATAACAGTTATCTAGTTGCTAATCAGCTGGTATTATGCAACAATGTATACCAGCTGATTAGCAACGAAATCAAGAATACAGTGATACCATCTAAATGTTAATTATGCTAATTGGCATAACCATATGAGCTGATTTTGATGTTGTGTCTCACGGTATTTGTAATTATTAGGGTTGCGTAAAAAACGCCCTATTCAATGTTTATGTTGTTATTTATATTACAAATGCTCCTTTTTACTGTGTATAGCGAGAGATTGTTGTTGGTATTGCTTAAATTTTACATCAAATAATAATCCACTTGATTTCACATTTTAAATTATTTAGTACAGTATCTCAATTTACAGATGAAGAAAAGTGATTTCGATTATCTTAGTTATGTAAGTCAACAGTCTTTAGATGGAATTATAGTTAAAGAACACATAACATCCAAATAGATTGTTTAATACATGGTTAAGGAGATCTATATGCTAATTCCTACGATTACACCACTTAAGCAAATTTGCCTCAACCAAAGATCAAATTAGTTTGTATGAGTTTAATTAAACTAATAACCCATCTTTACATTTGGTCGTAATAATTTAACATTACATAAAAAAATTCAGGTTTCAGCAAAACATAAGGATTACACGTAAAAGAGTTTAAATTTAATTCAATATACGACTGATTATTAATATGGGTTCATGTCATTTAGCATGTTGTGTGTTTATATTTCTGGCCAAATAGTTATTTCTGGTTCGAATTTCACCAAAGATTATTGAGACAAAAATCAGATCGATGCGTTAATGACGTTCTCACTATTATAATGACGTTTTAGTTCATGCAACTTCGGTAGGATATCTTTGTCAGATTAGATGCTAATAAATTTTTGGACAGGTCTGATAATTGGTAATGAACAATTTTATGTGGCTTTATACAACCATGCCCTTTTAGTATATAAGTTTCTAAAATGTACTATACATATTTAAAAGGAATTAATCGTCTTATATATTTATTGAAGATGTCCAACTAAGAGAAGCCTCATTTACAAAACTGTATACCTTGTTGCTTTGTTAATGTTGGTTCTAAAAAAAACACGGTCCCTGAACCAAATCTTCCAAGCTTTCAGTGCATTAGTAATCCTCATATTAGTTATTGGAAATCTACGACACAATACAAACCTAAACTACCTACAAACCGTAAACTATTTTTTCTACAATATATATAAATTAAATATTATGGGTTGCTAGAGTACATTTCGAAATATTTCCTTGATGTACTGATTGAAGTTGAGAGTGTGTCGTTTGCTGCAAATATCGGCTGAAAATTCTCTCTTATGGATTTAGCGTCTGTGTAGATCAACTGAACACAGTTTGAATGCATGTTTTTCACGGTAAAAATATAGAGAAATGCGATGTTTACTTTTCATATATTTGTAATTTACAAACTTTTAAACTAATGAGAAGGATTTATTTAAACACTCTTTTCTGGTTCTGCACAGCGTTTCCCTTGTATCTGCTATCAGCGAGAACTGTAAAGGTTTAATCTACAATAAGAGAGAAACACTTAGAGAATATCAATATTAAAAAGCAAACGGACATGAAACTCATTTAAAAACAATGTTCACATTAAAACAACAACATGGGAAGTATACTTTCAAGTATACTATTAGTCGAATCCAAAGTCAATGGTTCAAGGGTAAGAGTTCCCAAAAGTTCAAAGACTAGTATTTGACTTTGTAAAAAGGTGTTTTCTCTTACCTCTTTGGTAAACTGCCTAAGGTTCTTACAGGTTTTAGAGACAACTGGGTTTCAGACCAAGCTACTTAAAAATGAAAAATGAAAAATAAATTACAGTGAGCTACTTTCATTTTTGTTTGTACTGTAAGTGAAAATTTTTATAATGTTTATACGTTTCAAATAATAAATGAAAATATCCTCATGATTAATTTTGAATTGTATTTCAACAAGGGCTTGTGTGCTGTACCTATCAGAAAATCTTATGCGGTTATTATTGACACAATATTTTTCATTTTACTCTTCTATAACAATAGAATAACTCATTTTACTAAAATATTACTACACGATTATGATTGTTAATTTGAGAAACATAGTGTTTAATTGATTTATATCCAATGAAGATTAAGTACTGTGAATCTAAAAACACAATGTAGTCATATAGCTATGAACGCGTTTATACAGTAGTAGTTACTGGTGTAAACAGTGTATCATGTATCATGCTTTGTGTAAAAGCTTCATTGTATATCTGGCATGCCTGCCTCATCTAAGCTCTCCCTATATAGTGTTCTATCTTGCTAGGCGTTACTTCTCTTTATGTTGATTGAACTTACATTAAATAATTGAGATACTTCATAACTTATTGAATCTTTCAGTACTAAAAATAATTACAGGATAATAAAAAAATAAAACCACATTTTTAGTATTTTAAGGAAAATTTAGAAACTTGATACTATGGCCTTTTTTATTTTCAATAAGTCTGGACAAAGCTCTAAAACTTCATTTTCTGTATATCATTATAAACTTTTGACATTTACATAGTTTTGTGTTTTACAAAACGTGTTTTGAATCAGTCTTCTGTTGGGGAAAAGCATAATCGAGTGATTGAATGGACGTTAAATGTTGTATTAGTTTTCAAAGTAATTCTGTTATGCAGTCAATACAAGTATTGTATCGCTTCAGCGATTTCACGAAGGACGAATTTTATGCACGACTCAAGGTTAGCTGTTAGTAGTTGAAAGCTACACCTTTGATACAATTAGTCTGAATAATTAGTTCAGCTCTTCCCTCTTCCTTTCAATTACTACATAATGATTTATTAGTTTGAAGTTTGTATAAAGCTTACATTGGCAACTTATTGCCATTGTATTATTGAATCTAAATATAATTTGATTTGTCTCATTTTGTATTTACTGAGTTGTGAAGGAAGATTCTCCGCTCCAGCACAGATGTAAACTCTGGGAGATTCCAGTTGTCTGGTTAAATTTGTTTAGGGAAGTAAGTATGTTGTAAACAATTTCAATCAAAACTAATTGGAGATCAGAGTTGTCCAGATTAAAGGAAGCGCCATTAAAGAGGAAAGGCAGTAGTATTTTTGGGTCGTTAAATACTACTTTTATGAACACCTGTTATAGAAAAAGATGGAATAGTGTATTTAAAAAACCGTAAACTATTGAAGATAAAACAGACTCTGTGCAAAGACTAAGACGTTTTTAGTGGCACTTCTAATTTACGTGTAGCCTACCTATTAAATCTTTACAAACTGTTGCCCTCTTTAGAGAAGTCCGTACGGGATCTGGATTAGTGAAGGTTCACTGTACAATTATTAAGAAAACTTAGCGATATAAATTAATTGTTTCCATATTTTTCATGAAATATTTGCTAAAATAAGGAACGAAATTTTCATTTTCGAATTATTTCATACATTTTACACGAGATTACCTTGGTGGGCTGGATTCAAACTCCGCTGATCAAC